ATATATATATATATATATATATATATATATATATATATATACACATATATATATAATATAGACCTAAATAGACTGACGCAATAACGCGCTCGTCGAACGCAGCCTTAGCACGCTATTACACAAACAAAGAATAATACATGAATGATAAAACAAACTAATTGTTTCTCCAAAATATCGAAATTCGTTGCACGCATTAAAACAGAAATTTCTTTAATTTTTCTCAGTTCAAAATATTTGTTTCACACTGGTATTACTGAAAATAACTTGCAAGCACGAGCTCTTTAACTCTTAAGAATTACACAACTTATATCATATTATACTGATATCGCAGATTTACATTAGCAAGAGTTTTGTACAAACTTGATGGTCGAATCTGTTCAACATTTTAGAATTTTTTATTAGCCGATAGAGATTATTCTTCTAAATAAGCATTATGGAAACTAATATTTACTCAAAAAATATAATCTTTGATACCCCATTTTTCTTACTATTAAATATGCGCGCATAAACAAGAAACATGCAAAAAAAAATGCGTACACCGGCACAATGCGCGTGCACGCAAACGGTTAACTAATTTGATTAATAAAAATTTAGTTAATGAAAAAAACAAATTTCGATTCCTTTCAGTTGAGCACATCGAATATGAAAGGCAAACCATATCGGTATTGCACAATAAGTATTGCACAAATAATCTACAATACCAATAGTCAGCATTAGCATAGTTAAGCGAATTCCATTTAAGAACTTTAGATCCAGTGAAACTGAAACCAAAAAAATCTGGCTTTTCCAGGTTGAGAGTTTGAGCGTATGGTTAGCATATTCCATAAAAAAATCACATGCCATGAAACCTCAGAATGTGGTTAAGCTAATGGGGAAGTACACTTTGCGCTCTAAAGCTAAGGAGAAGATTTGATGTTATATGCTGTTATTACATACATAAACACCAATTAATGACATTACCAGAGATATTACACATTTGTAACACTTACCTTCTGTATTGTACTTAATATCATCGTGACAAACTTATCACTATTCTCTTTGGTACACTCATTCTTTAAGATTTGAATACAACAATTCATAAGTTCTGTCTCCTTATATTTATTAGCTAAGGCTAATAATTCTATAACCAAAACATATTGCTTTAATACTAGAATATCCAATGAAATAAACAAGCAATAATAGATAATCACAATACATATATATGTAAACTAAACCTACCTAATGTTTTCTCTACAGGTAGATCGATTTTGCCAGTGTATAAATACTTCAGAAAACATTTATAAATGTCGTAAGAAAACTCATTATGTTCGATGACACTATGAAAAAACATCAATATGTAACAGAAAGCTTGAAAACTTGAAAAGGACAATACAATATCGATATTCTCTTTCGTGACTGCTTACCTTTGATGACTATTCTTCCACTCTGTTTGGTGAAACATGTTTCTAAAATACTCACTGCGAATATTTAAGATAACTTTGTGAACGTGAATAGGTTGGCCCTGTACTCGTATTGTTAAATCGCTTACCGACTATTTCAAAAAGAAAAACAATAATTATTAAAAAGGAATAAATTTATTGTGCTATGTTTAGTTTAAAGATTTTTAGATTTAAGGTGTGTGCATATTTGTAAACACACCACTTTTAAAGTACAAAATATGTAATATAACAAGCTCAAAATTTTATTTCGTTTCAACATTAACAATCTTTGGGTGTGTTTACATATCGACAGTCTTAGCGTGATTTTAAACATATAAGACAAAGACTGAAATACATACAGAATCATCAAACATAGTTTCTATGTTTTCAGAAGTTTTGGAATACTTCAATGTTGATGTGCGAATGATATACGGCAACTCACATCCAAAAACTGTGTACATATCAGAAACGTTTATTTCCATCGGATAATCAACTAGATGGAAATAAAAACCCCATACGTAAACACGTCCTTTATCGTTGAGAGCGACGCTTATGTCTTTGTGTGACAGAGCAGCGATATTTACTATCTTTCCCATTTCAGGCACATCCAACATTTTGCATATTGACTATGTGAACAAGTTTTTATTTTTATTTCTCATTTCCATACAAATGCAATAAATGTTATTCTATATGCCATGTAATACCTTATCTGTAGACTTGTTTATTCCTAATTGTCCACGTGTATTACTACCCCAGACATACAGATTTCCCTCGTTATCGAGTGCCATTACGTGGTGCAAACCGCATACTACTTTAACTACATCATTGTGAATTGCTTCTATCAATATAGTTTTCGTATGGATTTTTGTATAGTTTTTGTATAGGTTTTGTATATACAGTGAAAACTTGTTTATCCGAACCGATCGGGCTACAAAATAGTTCGGATAGCCGAGGCCCATCCTCTATTATACGGACTATCAGTTCGTATAACAGAGGTTGGGTCTCAAGTCGTACCGGATAAAAATGGCTCGGATAAACGAGGTTCCACTGTATTACTTTGATTGAAAATATCATTATTTTCATAAGTACAGATATGTAAGAACAATCAACTTACCTAATTTTTCATTGCAAAAGATTAGTTTAAATCTTACTGAAGTGTCTTTAGAAATCAAGAGTGAATTGTCATTTATTCCTAGCTGATAGTTAGAATTGTCACCCACACCATATACACCTTTGTTTGTCACAGCAATAGTAAAGTTGTAGCCACAACAGATATACTTGATCTGTTCAGACATGTCATTCCAAACTAGTTGTGGTACTTTAACATTTTTTGAAGATGAAACAATAGCTTGATGATTATTATATATATAATAGACTAACACTCCCCACAAATATATCTAAAAAATTTAATTAAAAACATTTTAAACTAAGTGTTGTATGAATTGCTTCAAAATTACAAATTGAACGAGGCCAATGGGAGCATATAACACAGTTGATGGCATAACACATTTGAACTTATTAAAGAGCAATTAACTGAACTATTCGCAACACATCACCAAGTGTGTCATAAGTTTCTATTGACTTTCTCTTTCTACTCAATTTAGAAAACATTTTTAATTTATTCGTAAAACTAGTATCAGTAATTTGATATCACTTACTTTTCCACTTTCAGTAAGTGCAACAGCATGATATACGCTGGCTGCAATATCTATGATGCGCTCTTTTTTTAAACTAGTTATAAGACTTGGTAAACGTGTTGTTCCGTACGCTTGTTGGTCTTCAAGACCTAAGTTGTATTGATTGGATCCCCATGAATATATCTTCCAAAAAAACAAAAATTACAAGTACATATATCACAAAAAGACGAGAGTACTTTACTAAATATGCTACACCAAACTTCTATGAGAGAAATTTATAGATGTTTTCCATGTTATTATATTATTTTCTTGTTATTATATTATATACTGTATATACTAACTATAGCATACTAAATTATTCCACGAGAAAGAAAAAAATTCTCTTCTTATGCATTATTTTTTCAACTAAAATACACTGCATATTAGCGAGGCGAAGTAAAAGAATACATAAAAGAAACCCTTCTTTTCTCTTTTTCAGAATGACTTAATACTGATAAGTATATATTGAGTGCAAATTAGTGCTTACAGATTAACATTATTACTTTGTTTACAAACTCTCTGAAATTCCTTCTACAATATAAGATTTGTATAAATTGTTTACATGTATTTGTACTAAATATATAATTTATTTTTTACTTTTTAATAAAATGTTTTTATTTCTAAAAACCTTATGGTTTTAATTAATTCATATTGTCATTGATCATGCGATTTTTCTTGAACATATTTTATAACTTTTGTTGTCCTCTTACTGAGGTCTGGTGAGAATTAAGGAACACTACTATCTCACAAAGTTTATGTGAAACATTTAAAGTACACTATGGTTTTAAACTTGCAAGTTAAAAAATGAAAGAATCCTATATTTATATTTATTTTACTTTGTTTTTTTGTAATAATCTTGGAAACAGAGAGATAGAATCATCAAATAAAAAAACTGAAATAAAAGTTTTTAGTTACTTAAGAAAGAATTAAGAGTGCACATAGAACAAGTGAAAAAAATCTTTCTTGTACTTTAAAATAATTACTTAAACTAATTACTTAAACTAAAATAATTACTTAAACTAAGACAATCAAATTTAGCAAGTTTTATTGCTCACTCCTTTTTTAGTAATAGTCATAATAGAATTTATCTCAAAAAGTACTATATATAAAATTCATCAGAATAAAAAGTTTTTAATTTATATTTTACAATATTACAGGATCTCTGCAAAGTTTCTCTTATGTTCCTTTCTAAAACAAAATATCATTCAACTTATACAATTACAACATAAAAATAGTATTAATAATAATCACATTTACACTTTATAAATAAAACTGAAGTATAAAACTGAAAAAACAAACAAGAGAAAAAAAATAGCAGAGTTCTATTGTAAAATAACATTAGGCTTCCATAAGAATGTATATATAAATTTAAAATTGGAAACATTTACAAAACACTAAAGTTTATACCTGTCCTTTTTCAGTAAGAACAAAAACAGCAGGTGAGTTTAAATAAATCAACTTTTTAATTTTTTGTCCACTTAAAATTCCAATTAGTACAGGCTGTGTTGTGCTCATATGTCCTATTCCTAACTGACCTCCTTGATTATTACCTAATCCATACGTCATTAGATCTGTTGTCATGAGCAAAGCTCCATCTGAAGTCTTCCCTGTTATAAATGCAAAACTATAACATTAATAAATAACATTACCCTTGAAAATGACAAAAAACTAAGAAATCAAAATTACCACATATCTGAATCATGTATAATTTTGATATAAACTCCTTTGACAGCAAATTGAATACTGGACACACCTTATTCAGAATATTAACACTTTTACTTTCAAGGTTTTGTACTTGCCTATTCACAATCAAATGTTATCTAGATTAATAGAAGCAATGATATCATCTGAAGAATAACTTTTATTTGATAATGCTTTTATTCTGATTTTATAAAAGAAATTTACATATTATTAAAATAATATTAAAACAGCAGAAATGTAATAGTTTTTTTTATATGAAGTTGAACCACTAATAATAGACTACGTTTACACGTACTGGTAAAACCATTTTAGTACAAAACCGGACTTAGATGTCTGTTTACAGAACACCTAAGTCTGGTTTGTACTAAAACGGTTTTAATAACATCAGTACAAGGAACGTTTACAGGATATCTAAGTCCGGTTTTGTACTAAAGTCATCTAAAACGGTTTTTATTAAAACGGTTTTACTAGTACGTGTAAACGTAGTCATACTTCAATGATATATCAAATGTGCAACTTTATCTGTAAAAGCATTTACAACTCTTATCGTATAACATAACTCTTTTGACATAAAAAAAGAAAACAAAAAAATAATAAACAATAATGTTTGGTATCGAGTGTTACATTTTATCACCAAGATATTCCACGCGTTCTATCGTCGAGGTTCCCTCTGATGATATATTACTAGACATGATGTAGTAGCAAATCTCCAACTTATTACTGTTAGTTTCAACGTCGCCTATCAGCCAATTTTTTCACTTCTAGATAAGTTTTCGATAACTTTGTCTAGAAGATGTCTCCCAAAATTGGTTTTCCTTACAGCCAATTTTTTCATTTCTAGATAAGTTTTCGATAACTTTATCTAGAAGATATCTCCCAAAATTGGTTCTCCTTATAGCCAATTTTTTCATTTCTAGATAAGTTTTCGATAACTTTATCTAGAAGATATCTCCCAAAATTGGTTCTCCTTATTGGTTCTCAGAGGAATTTATCCAGAGGATAGTTATCGAAAGGTATGAAGAAATCGGCCGTATAACTTCTTTACAATATGCATGTATTTTATAAAAACTTTTAGTTTGCTGCAACGCCTGCAACAAATTCAAGAGAATCCCCGTTAAGAATAGTTCATACAAAGAAGTGCACCATATCGTGCGATATCAGAGAAAGTATAAAGGGCCTTCTACAATGAGATATTAGCAGAGAGAAANCTGAGAGCGGCCATCCTATTGTAATTTTTTACGACGGTTTCAGCCGCTGGTTTTAGTCGTATTTCCACAAAAGTGGAACTCAAAGGCCGTTCTACATTAAACGCAAGTCGCAGATCTCGTGGAATTGACCAATTGCAGAGTCAAATCAGCCAATCGACCAACGTGATTGATCAGTTCCACGAGACCTGCGACTTTAGTTTCATGGAGAACGGCCTTTGAGTTCTACTTTTGTGGAAATACGGCTAAAACCAGCGGTTGAAACCGTCGTAAGATACTACAATGGCATGGCCGCTCTCAGGTTTCTCTCTGATATTAGTAATAAATCAGAAGTCCGAAGCAAGAAATTGACAAATCACAATTGATTATTCTTTTGTGATTTGTCTGTGATTGATCAATTTCGTATGACTTACAGCCACTTTTTTCACTTTTAAAGAGCCGTCTACAATGGAGAGTTGTAGGCCGTAATAGTAAGAAATTGACCAATCACAGACAAAGTACAGAAGAATAATCGATTGTGATTTGTCAATTTCTTACTGTTACGCCCTACAACTCTCCATTGTAGACGGCTCTTTAGATAACTTTTCGATAACTTTATCTAGAAGATATCTCCCAAATTTGGTTCTCCTTATTGGTTCTCAGAGAAATTTATCCAGAGGATAGTTATCGAAAAGTATGAAGAAATCGACCGTTACAGTTTTCGACTGTATTGTAGAACAGGCCTAATGATTGTGGATTGAGGAGACTTTTTTTAGGAGGTGCGCGAAATGAACGAATTTTCGTTTATCCGGTTTGTCTTCTCAAAATGAGTGCAGATAGGCCTGGTCTACAATATAAGGTTTGTTTTACTGGCATACACGAAAAGTGTAAAGTGTACACCTTACACTTTTAATACACTACACTTTTTGGAAGTGGGGGAAACATCGTGTAAAGTGTATGCTTTGCAAGAAAAACGCCAGTGTGTAACAAAAGTGTACTACAGTGACACAGTGAAAATACTACACAAACAGAATAATTTTTAATAATTTAACATATAATTTAATANTATATTTAAAGAATTTATAATTTATATCATATTGAAAGAAATGGTATTGTAATGAATTTAACATATTTTAACATATATCTTATTATACAGGGTGTCCCAGAATTGGTTTAACATCTCTCGTAGGCAGATAGAAGGAATAAAACTGAGGTGAAAAGTCCTATACCATTTTGCTAGATTCGCAATAGTTACTGAGATTTTAATTAACAAAGATCCGCGAATAAG